GGTTCAGCAATTGCAACGTCCTGGAGATCAGCCCCAGGGCTTCAGTGCCGTGCACCGGCACTCACCCTGCGCGGGCACACCACACCTCCAAAGGCCAACTACCATTCCTCACCAACAGCTTATGAGTTCCTGTCACACCACGACCCACAGCAGATCTCCACTTAGAAGTGCTTTATTTAAAAACAAAGTCTTTAGAAACTCCACCAAATTTTTGGTCATTTTGGACTATTTTTGGACCACCTCAGTCCCTCCTAGCCTACAAATCCACATTTGGTAGGCTAATAACAAATGAACAAAATAATTCATGAAATTATCAGCCTGCATTTTAATACAAGATAACGTTCTCTCCTAACATCGCCGTCTGACATACCTGATATGTAAGGACAACCATCACCTACTGACAACTCATGTTTTCAGAGCCTCAGCTTCTGTAATCACCAACTTCGGGAGACTGGAAGTCACCTACTGCCATTGTAAGAGGGGGAAAACTCTCTCTCACTCTCTGATCCTGCAGTTTAATGGAAGATTCCTTATATCCCAAAAACGTGTACAATTCAGGACAAAGCTCTAGTAAAACTTTGTTTTCTATTACTTTCTCATTTGAGGAGTACAGAACTCTATGCCTTAAAATTACGTCAATCAAAAGGCTAAAGCTCCACAAAACTCAGGTGTAGCATCCCACATCCCTTGTTTAACTACACAACATGATGTTAAAGGGATCTCAATGCATCGTGATGACACCTGGTGAGCCACAGCTTATGAGTGAGCGAAAAGCCATTCTACTTTAAAGCAATCTCAAGATAAATTTGCTTTATTAGTTTCTAGCTCAAAGCTGCTCTATACACCTCCACAAAGAAAATCCTCCTTTGAGAATTAAAACAGAAAAAAAAAAGAAAAAAAAAGAGACCTACAGGAGGGAAAACAGATTACCACATGCCCTTTTCCTTTCAAGGACAATACTGTTGTCGCTTTGGGGGAGGTGGGGTGTGGAGTTACGAAAATCCCTGAGCATCGCCAAGGTCACCACATTCTGAGCTTTCGAAGTTGCTCTGTGTTTCTACCATCACACAGCGAGAGACTGTTCAGAACAAGAATTACCTTATCAGCAGTATGACCCACAAGGAAAAGGCATGTTACGCACGTAGCACAGTAACCTGCAGAGAAACCGTTCAACGTGCACCCAAGACCAGCACTCCCTGAAAACACTGAGGGTTGCACACAGCTGTCCTTGACGTTATTCCATACAGACACCTGTGAACCACTAACCTAAATTCACTTACCGCTGGAAGGACTGGGGGATTTAGCAGCTGCCTTCTCCTGCGGCTGCATCTGCTCCTCTTGCTCCAGATTCCTTGTCACAACAGCATCCTCCGTATTCTTTGGCACCTGATTCTCCTGCTGAGTCACCAGCACGTCAGCCCCTCTCTCCTGAAGGGGTGGCTGACTCTCTGTTACCATTGTCTGTCCTAATTCTGAACAACCTGGATGTTTTTTGGCACACAACCCCACTTCCAATGGAACGTCGCTCTTTAACTTTGGAAGCAAGCTGTTGTGCTGTTCCAGTAACTCCCCTACAGAAGGCTTAGATGAAACTTTATTCAGCTTTGACATGTCTTCCACAGCAGCCTTAGAGGCCCGTTTATCCATGCTCTTTGCCTCTAAAGTGCCAAAAGTACAGCCTTTTGAAGTCTCTTTTCCCTGGCTTTCTGGTCCAATTTCTTCTAATTCTTGGGCCTGATCAGACAAACTTTTGCTATTTTTACAAGAACCATCAGCAAATTCCACTTCCATGTCTTCATGACACTGTACTTCCCCTTCAGGAATAAACCTTTGAGAAAGTGTAATATCAACAAGGGGCCCATCTTCATTTATTTCTTTCTCTTTCACTTGCAGTTTTTCTTCTTGTTCTTCACACTGAGTCTCAGGAACTGCCTCAGGCTCAGAAGTCTCTTCCAATGGATAATCCTCAGACTGCACTTCTCTCTTCTGAGTGCACGACACAATCTCAGGCAGACCAGACTGATCTGGAGCAGCCTGACTGCCAGAAATACACTCCATCTTGCGACGAGCCGTAGGGGCTAACGACCCATCTCCTGCCACATCTGCACGGACTAACTGCGTTACAGGCTTTCCTGCAGTCTGTAAATCCTCCTTTTCTGTTTTTTCACAGTTTTCAGACAGTTCTTGATCACCTCCATCCAGCCTCTGTTTTATGTTGTCGTTCTCCGCAGAACAGAGTTCCAAGTCTGAGGCCTTGCATTCGGAAACCATCTCTACTTGCTTGGTTTCGCTGTCTCGGCCTGTGTTCAGAGAGCCGGAGCTGAGCTCTGCATCTGTGGGCTGGCTACACTCACTCGCAGAAAGCAGCAGCTTACAGGACTCAGAGGGCTGCAACACAGAGTCGGTTAAAGGAGCAGCTTTTCCTTCTGCTTCATGCTGCTTCTCTGGGCTTGGAGTTGGAACAAAGATATCCTAAAATGAAAAAAGTGGGACATGGAGCACCAGGGTAGCCCAAGCAGGACTGTTTGTTATTCCTAGAACATTACATCCACGGATTATGGAGCAGAGAAAGCTCAGCACAAAAGTACAGAAAAAAAAAAAAAAAAAAAAAAAAAAGCAAGCTTCCCCCCCATTTATATGAGTCATAATTGCCACGTTCTTGCTGAGAAAAATTATCACCACCCATTATTTTTTAGTACCGCTGTGGCAAAGCCAGACACGAGCCCTGGTACACCTCTCACACGACCAAATCATCAAAAATCAAGTACAGGGCAAGTATGGCAAATTTGTAGCTATTTTTAGTCAAACAACCAAGAATTCTTGAATGACTCTCTGGAGGAATCTATTATATCAGCACGAAAGTCGCCTCCAGGTAAGGAGAAACCCTGCTTTGACTACCTAAATCTCTAGTACAAGCTCTATTTTCTGCCTTAAGTTGATTAAATTTGTAATATTAAGCTATAAATCCACCATCTGTTAAATCCCTTTGAACAGCAGTAACTTCCAGAATCAAAACAGCACAAAATAAACAACAGATAATAAGAATAAGCAACTTGAAAAATGCAGTAAATTAATTCTAGCCTTGTAGAATACAAATGCTTTATTACAAAACAGCTTCACTTTCTCCATGGCAAACGATGCTACAGTCTATCCTGATAAAAGCCTACTTCATGATGCAGTTTGAGACGCAGGACACCCAGCTCAGCATCAGAAAGCAGCAGCGTTTTAAAGAGAGAAAGGAAAAAAAAAAAAAAAAGGGACAAAACCAGTTTCTAGCACAGATTAAAAGACAACAAAAACTACATTAAGTAACTCACTATTACCCTGCTCTCTGCAGAATAAGCTGCCACACAGGATGATCAGTATGTAATTGTGACTGGTGGGAACAGGGATGCTCGTGAGAACCGGCCTAGCAGGGAAGCTCAACCCAGAAGCACAGAGGCTGACTCAAACACACATCTTCTGCAACAGCCACGTAAAAACCTCAGAAAAGATATCCGTATGAACCCTTACATGAGAGAACTCTGGTTGTGACGGTAAAGATCCAGGAAAGAAGGTTGGGGCACTCTGGGACACTGGAGTCGAGGCCTGCGGCAGGATGAGAGGTCCTGGTGGGATACACGGGGTGGCCACCTCCACAAGCATATCTCCTCTCTGCTTCTGCATCAGCTCTCTTCCTTCTGCAGGGACAGATATATCCATCTGTTCATTTGGTTTGAAAGAGCAGAAAATACATTACTAGCAAATTCTTGCATTGTACCTAAAGTTTCGAACATTCTATTAAAAGACTTGTCTTCAGTGGCATATGCAACTTTCTCATACTTTAATGGGTGAATCTAAAATCTTCTCTCCACGTGAATTCTCTTTGGAAGGAAAGAAAAAAAAAAAATCAACAAAATCATCCATACCATGTAATTATGGGAGAAGTGGAAGCATTTTGTGAAGAATTCACATAACTATTTTGCTACAGGTCTAGAACTTCTACAATTACAAAAAGCTATCCAAAGTTTATAAAAAGCATTTCTCTGAGGGTTTGGGTTTTTTTTCCCTTTTGCTATCTTTATTAAAATGAAGATAAATTCAGACCCCGGCTAACAAAATATCTATTCTGAAAGTATTTAACATTCTGTGACAGCGATCTCACAGAAAGGAATGGTGATTTTGTATCATACTTAAAAGTCTGTGTGGATGGATATCTCGACCCTGATGGTGAATGGGTGCTTAGAAAAAATGTTTAAGTACCAAGGTATTATATAGAACAATTCATCTTTTGGCATGATGTTCTAGAATACACACATAATAAACATAAGAAAGCTTCTTTAAATATTGTGCAAGTCATGCAGTCCTCCTCTGTCCTTTCTGTTGCCCTAACAGTATACACTTCATACAGAGACCCGCCTGCAGCAAGAATGGCTTGTCCCCAAGAAAGGAGGACAACTGCATGCAGCCATCTGTATCCCATAGGAAGCATTTCCTGTCTTTCAGGTGAGGGGGAGGTAGCTGCCAGTTCTGATTTTATTATGATAGCTATGCAGGAAATATCGGCAGCACATCAGCATCCGAGTCACACACACAGATCTCCCTTCATCTACCTCTTTCAGTCTCCCCTATCCAGCTTTATTCTTTAAATGCAATTTTAGGATGTTTTGAAAAGGCTGCGTGCTCAGACTAAACCACAGAGCCCAGAAACACAACCACACACCAGCACGCACAAGAGTTTACCTTTTGCTTGCTCCTGTTCGGTAGGACTGCTGGGGACAAGAGCACAGGATCCAAGGGCAACAGGAGGAGGATTAACTGTGGCTGAAGAGACGCTGCAGACCAAGAAAAGGGAACACAGATAAGAAGACCATACGTGACGAGAAAATGCATTAACTTCTCCCCAAACATAGCTCCAGCTTGTCACAACAGGCGCCTTCTCGTAAAAGGAGAGTGTCAGGTGTTCGCTAGCAAGAGAAACGCCCATTGACCACACGGGCATCACGAGTTTATTTCATTGCAAAACAAAGCCCTGCTCCTCTCACAGTGCAAAATTAAACCACTGATCGCTTAAAATCCAGCACAAGGCCTTGAATAAAGAAGAACTGTGGAAATGCACTATTGCAATTAAGCTATTGCAAGAGTTTGGGGATTTTTCACTTACATGGAACGACTCTCCTGGACATGGGATCTCTGTCCAGAGAGCTGCAGGAGCTGCAGGCTGCGGGCAGGGGTGCACGGCAAAGAACCTTCCTCTTCCGCCCTGGTTATTGGACAGCCACTCCCTGTAGCAGTTTTGAACAAAAGGAAGTAAGATTTGAAATCTGTCCAATAACCAAGCTGATCAGAAAATTCTGGGGAATTACATTCTGCTACTTCTCAGGTAGGCAAGGACGAGCCGATTTTCACACTGAGCTGGAGAAGGACTGCACTCCAAAGTTATGTATGTGAAATGTGAGCATAATATAGTTAAGATTAAAAAAGATAAAATCTATTCTATAGGTTCCAACGTATCAGGCCAGACTGTGCAAGTATTCCTACTTGGGAATTTTAAAAGAAAAATGCCCAATGGCTCCAATATCAGCACTTTGACCCAGCACTAGAACGCAAATACAGGCAAAGCTCCTACAGGACACCTTGCACTGACCACCGACTCCGTGTGAGAAGGAGGTTGTTCCTGAATCTTCTGGATACAGAGGGTTCATGCACAAGACCCTACTGCTCTAGACAGAGTTGTGCATGAATCAGAACTAAACAAAAAGCATAAAGTGAGACTTCATTCAGCTCACGCTTTATAAACAGTGGCAAAGTTGCCTTTCTAAACTTTATTTTCTAGGCCTTTCACTATTAGGATTGTTAAGAACCTTTCTGCTTCTCCCTTAGCCTTTCAGCTGTGGACACCAAAACCAGACACAGGCATCCTCCTAGCAAGAGGTGACAACCTCTCTCCTGATCCTGTTTTATGCAATCTCTTCTCTTACAGGGAAGGAACATTAACCCAGATGACAAGTAAGACGAAGCAAAATTGTGGTGCAAAGATTCTGATTGCAGAATTCCATCACACCCCAACCAGGAAGGCCAGTTCAGAGGAGTAACTGGAACGTTTCGCCACAGTTACCCAGTGTAAGAATGTCTGCACTATTTGCCTTCACTACTTATCCACACTTTACATTGTGTGTCACTACAAAGTGTGAGCATTTTTATTGCCAGTTTCAGAAGAGGGTAAATGCTCTTTTTTGGTTTTGTTCACCAAAGAGCACTGAAGGAAAGGAAATCAAATGCATTTAACAATACAGTGTAACTGTTCTAACAAGAAGTGACATTTAGATGTTTGCTCCATAGTAAAGTGAAAGAGGCTGTGGCCTTTCACTTCCAAAGCATTCTCAATTTTAGCAGAAATTGCACGAAAAGTACTCACAACACTCTGCACCCTGAACCACTACATGCCTAAAAGGATCAGGTAGGGATGATAATTATGATGATTTCTGGAATGAACATTTCGACTCTGCTTGTCTATTGTTACCTGTCACGTCATTCTCAGGAAACATCTCTTCCTGAGTTGACAAGATATCCAACTCCTCGTGACCAGAATCCAGGGATTTCTCCGTTTTAGCGGGGTCACAGACAGGCATTTGTTTCCTGGGATGCTCTTCTGCTTCCTGCAGAGTTCTGGAAAAGCAAGACAGTCACTGACCTGAAAAATGTGAAGTATGAAGTTATACTGCAACATTGTAAAGACAATTTATCAGCATAGAGGAAAGATATTCACTGGTGTATACCACAGGAAAAAAAAAAAAGGAATAAAAAGAAGAGAAAAAGGAGGACTGGCCCATCTCTCCTGTTAAAATAACATGTTCATCCTCGACAAGTTACATTTTCAAAATTGTTTCATCAGTTTTCTTCCAATCTAAGCGATACTTAAATGGAACGCAGATTGTTCTACTGACTGTATTCAATCTGGATTCTAGGCATTTTGTTTCACCTCCATCTTAATATTGTTTTGTGTCAGAATATGACAATACAAGATGAGCTAAACATTACTCTGTCTGGCATAAAAGATATACAGAGAATTTTCAACAAACTGAAGTTTCACATTTAACAATAATTAACACTATAAAGCTTACAACAACAAATACTCCAAAGCATCCTGGAACAGCCACCACACAGCCTCTACATTTCTTTTGGGAGGCCAAAGCCCATGCAAGTGATTCTGAAATAACTTATGTGAGTTAAACTTTTAATATCCCAGTCATTTAACTTTAAGAAAATTATTAGTGTATTCTATCATCCCGTGCACTCTCCCTTAAAAACAAACCTATTGATATCTTTGTGTGTAAGAGTTGGACACCACTTCTTTCCTCAGCGAGGAATGGTGAAAGCACTCCTTAGTCAGTACTGCTGCAAAAAGGTCTTATCAGTACTTCACCCTTCCCTTGGCTTTTTTTTCCTCTTTTGCCTTGAAGCCTGAACCCTCCTATGTCTAAAAATCTACTAAAAGAGAAACAGATCAATTTCCAGAATGTCAGCAAGAGACCTACAAAGAACGCAGACTATTTTACCTTTCAGATTTCTCTGGCTGGCCCTCCAAAGCAGTATGTGCTTCTGTGCTGGAGACAGTTTCTGTGCTGTCACCACACAGTTCTAGCAAGAGAGAGGAAAAAAAAAAAACCAAACATGCTTATTCAGGTTACTTGGATTAATATACAGAGAGAAGCATAGTTCTGTAAATTACACAAATATGAAGACAAGCTTTATATTAAAAAAAAATTAAACTTGAACTAAAGGACAGGATGACGTTCTTCCCAGTGAGGGAATTCTACATCAGATTCTCTGAATATCCTGAAAACATATTAGGAAAGAGAGGTGCAAGAATCAATGCTGGCACTTGGACAGCTACAAGAAAACAAATGAACTAGCTCAAAGGAAAGAGAAGGCAAAATTATTTTAAACTGACAATGTGCTGTGGACTCATTTTTGAGAACTACTAATACCATTCTTCCTGTCAAATAAACGTAACATCCATAATTTAAAGAAATCAGAGAGACCTGACAGAGCAACAGAAGGACCATTTTCACATACCATCCTTAGTGTCATTCTTCTCACATCTGGAAGAAGGGACAGCAGCTCCAGGGTGGAACTGATGCTCGGCACCTCCTTCGCTGGGCACGAAGTCACTCTCAAAGTCCTGGCTCTGTGAGAGCTCTAGAGCTCCAAAGCGCAGCTGTGACATGCCTGTATCCGACACCAAACACCCACAATTAATACATATACACACACACACACAGAGACCTATCTACCACTTTACAGGGGCAAAAGACACAGCCTCTAACAAGATAAGTATTTAGGCTGTTGCTGAAACTGAACAAACCAACAGACTCGGATCCCAGCTGCACTAATTAAAAATACGGTAAAAGAAGAGGGACAGCGGCCATTAACTCAAAACCCAGCGACAATCAGCAAGGTCTTGTGTAACGCCATTAGGTACTGCAGCAGGTTTGGATTCCTGACACTACGGAGCCTGTGCCTGAGAGTCCTCTGATGACCACAGCCCCTGTGCCAGGAGTCCTTCGCTCTGACACACAAAGGCTCCATCTCCCACCGCCCGCGCCGCGCCTCCTCTGAGCCCTCTGCTCTCTCCCAGACCCTTGTTAACAACGAGATGAAGTCACGGTTTCACACCCCAAAGCACAGACCAGCTCCTGTGCAAAGACACCGACTGCCAGCGGTACAACGGCGCCTCGTGCG